CACTGAGAGCTTGTGGGTGGGGAGCGTTCTGGCGCACTATGGCTGCCGTCGCATCATCCAGGTGGGGCTGCACACTGGTGGTGGTAGTGGGATTCCCCATTACCTGTAAAGCACTTTGAGTGGAGTGTCCAGAAAAGCGCTATAAATGTAAGCAATTATTATTATTACCTCTGTCTCTATCAGACTGTCTAACAGATTCAAATTCTGTCTCAGGATTATTGCCATGAGTGGTAAATTACACTGTTGCCAAAACAGAGATAATTAACTCTGCAATTACAGACAGTTTTAATAAAGAGAACCGATGGCTGTCTCTCTCTGTCTCTGCCTGCCTCTGACACACGGATGGCCTGTGTTTACTCTGTTTGCAGCTGCTGCATCTTGTGGTACAAAAGGGGGGAGCCGCCTTTGACCTGCAGCATTTTCAGGTACGAACTTTACTCTTCAGTGAACAGAAAAAAGTTCAGATCTGTTTTATCACCTGCAAACCAGGTGATGTCTTTTTTACCTGGACATGTAAAAATAACATGTTATAATAAACTTTATTTTATGTAAAGGAACAAATATGTTAATTCCAGGCTGAAAAGAGAAGAAATGTTTCTGTTTTCTCTCTTCTCTTTTCAGCAGGGAATAAACCTGTTACTTGTTCCTTTGCAGCCTACACATGCTGACACAGCTACCCACCTGAACTACTTTATTTTATGTAGCATGATTTAAAAGTATCATCTCAAAGTTCTTAACTTTAGAAAACCATTATAAGCAAATGCCAAAGTATATAAAATAACAAATAAGTAAGACAGGTGGTTAGAGGTGCAGCAGTAGTCACTAATTAAGTAAAAGTAAGTAATTGGTTCAAAAAAAGCCTTTCAGAACAGAAAGGTTTTGATTCTAGATTGGAAAGAGCTCAGGGCGTGTGATTCTCTGATGTACTTGGGGATACATTTCCAGAGCTCTGAGGCAGAGCAGGAGAGGCCTTGTCACCCATAGAGTGTAGACATGCTTGGGAGACAGTTAGGAGACCAGAGTTAGAAGAGCGAAGGTTGCGAGGTGGGGAGAAGGGCGATGATAGTTCAGACAGGTACTGAGGTGCCAAGCCATGTAGAGCCTTATAGGTGAGCAGGAGCATTTTGAAGTTGACATGAAACCTGACAGGACGTCAGTGCAGGGACTCCAGGATAGGAGTAATGTGATCACTTGCACCTGAGCAGAAAGTCAAGCTAGGGTCACTCCTAAATTCTTCAATTTTGATTAAAATTCAAGCACAGCGCTGTCCACAGATAGGGCTACTACACTGGCTTTACCTTAGTGTAACACAGGTGCTGAGCAGCATGATTTCAGTCTTGTTGTAGTTTAAGATAAGGAAATTTGGAGTCACCCAGGCTTTTATATTAGAGATGCAGTCAGTGCAGAGACAGCCACTTCAGTGTCAGGCTTAGTACAGATATCGCTTTAAGCATCATCAGCGTTGAAATGATAGATCAGACCATGTGATCTTAATAATTGACCACGTAGATACAAGTCAATGCTGAATAGTAGAGCCCCTGGCATCAGATAAGACCTGAACCATTTGGGAGCAGTGTCAGAAACTGCAAACACAGTCTCAACACAAGAGAGTAAGATCTCATGGTTAACAGTGACGAAAGCAGCACTGAAGTCTTAAAGGATAGGAAGAGAAACAGAGTCTGAAGCCATAAACAGATTGTTAGGGACTTTGACCAGGGCGGTTTCTATGCTGTCTGATTGTCTTATAAGGGTTTGAAGAGGTTATTATGTTGAGGACAACAGGGCAGGGAGAGAAGAAACTGGATTGAAATAAAACACAAGAAATGGAGGGTATGTAGCAGACTCGTAGGCAGACTCATAGGCAGCTGGTGGATTTCATGAGCAATACCAGTTTACTAAGGCATGCAATGTCCACTTGGAAGAAAGCAGATTTGCAGGCATCATAACAGCAGTCAGAATTCACTCAGAGTATTGATTAAGCTAATCAATCTCTTGGGACAAGAAGGATTTCAATCATTCTCAAGCATGTGTTATTACTTGAGCTGCGCCATAGGACGGTGAGAGAGGCTCTTCTATAGAGCTAGATAAGATTTCATGACTTTGTAAGGTAAGCTGATATGAGATCTTTCTCAATCTCTAATAAAGGGGTTCTATTTCCTGGTGCGGGACTGGACACAAACTCAAGAATGTGGACAGACTGGAGGATCCCGACACCTGGAGAGAATCATCCAGGTAGGAGAAGTACTGTGGACCTGTATAGCCCTGACCTGTACTGAGAACGACAAAGAATTACTGATTCTCTAGACTGGTCAGGAGGTACAACAGTGCCACCAACAGACACTCCCTTCAGACTGAAGGGACTCAGTTCCTCTAGCCTGTCAGTGTGGGACACTTCACTCAGACTAAAGAGACTCAGTTCCTCCAGCCTGTCGGTGTGAGACACTCCACTCAAGCACAGAGGGCTGGCATCCTACCCCTTTCCTGAGTCGACATGTCTGTCTGTGCTTTCAGCGCCTGGAGAAGTCCGGGACAAACAAGCAGGCTCTGAGGATCATCAAGGAGAAGAAACCACGCTGTCACCTTATGCCCTTACCTGGGGACCAACTGCTTTGGAGCCAACAAGGAACCATGCAAGGTAAAAACCAGACAGCTTCACTCCCAGAGCAGTGTCACTGAGAAGCCACATGGAGGCGGTGTTGAGCTGTGAAAATTAGATCCCCTAGTAGTCCAGTCTATGTTCAACTCTATAGAGCTTCAGGATCTTCAGTTGACTCATTTGTTTCCTTGTTGTGCGTTTCTAAGAAATGAATGAACAGTTTCAGCACTGCCTGAAAGAGTTCATCAACCACATTGGCCAGGTCCTGCAGACGACACGGTCAACCATGACAGGAAAGACACTGGCAGGGAAATTCAAGGTAAGAAATTATTCACTGAACCAGTCAACATCCATCACTACACCACTAGGGTACAACACCTCAAAGAGCAGCGTAGAAACCAGTACAGTGCAGTAAAGCCCAGTGAGATCATGGTAGAAACAGTACAGTGCAGTAAACTACAAGTCATACAGTGTGTACAGGGTGATGCGAACCATCAGCTGTTCTAATGTGATTTCTGTCAGTTGTTGAGAATGAATTGTCACAGAAAGAGTTAAGCCCAGTGAAGCCTCACTTACCTTATTATTTTCTCTGTAGGAGATGGCACTTATGATTCTGAAAAGCAACTACAGAATTTCCTCTCCTGCAGAGGTGAGTCTCTCTCTTTCCTGCTGGCCCAGACAATCTTTTAATCCTTTCCCTGTTGCTGTCTTCAGTCCATTCAGAATATTGAGACTCAGTTCCTCCAGCCTGTCATTGTGGGACACTCCCTTCAGACTAAAGAGCCTTAGTTCCTCCAGCCTGTCAGTGTGGGACACCCCCTTCAGACTAAAGAGACTCAGTTCCTTCAGTCTGTCAGTGTGGGACACTCCCTTCAGACTAAAGAGACTCAGTTCCTCCAGTCTGTCGGTGTGAGACACTCCCTTCAGACTAAAGAGACTCAGTTCCTCCAGTCTGTCGGTGTGAGACACTCCCTTCAGACTAAAGAGTTCTTTCTGCCTGTCAGGGTAGATTATTCCTTGAAACGTGTTTCTGAACGTCTTTGACTCCAGAATACTTGTATCAATATCAGTTCTATCTGTAACCCCTTTGCTTCCTCCCCCAGCTCATCAACCTGCTCACTATCCAGCAGCTGAAGCAGGAGTTCACCATCTTTCTGAGTGAGCAGGTAAGAGAGTGTGTGTGAGAAAAAGGGTGTAAGTATTAGGGTGTGAGAGTGTGTGTACATATGTGTGTGTTTGAGCGCCCGACCCCACACTGGGGATGAGGAGGACTGTGGTACAGAAGGAGAAAGATCTGCTGGCCCGTGTGCAGGGTGAAGTCAGTCCGCAAGATTCCCAGGAGCTCTCGCAGTTCTTGAGCTCTGAGCGAGAGAAGTTCCTGAAGGAATACACTCTCCTCATCATCGAGAGGGCGAAGGAGGACTTCACTAACCTGTGTGTGTATGAGCGAGAAACTGGGGTGGGGAGGCGTGGGAGAGTCTATGTCCTTGAGAGTGTGTGTGTGTATGAGCGAGATAGTGTGTGAATGAGAGAGAGTATGTGATCGTTGTGTGTAGATAGATAAGATGTTATTGAGGGAAATTGAGGAATGTATGAGAGAGTGTGTGTGTGTGAGAAACAGGGAGGGTGTGAGAATGTGAAAGAGTGTTTGTCAGTGAAATTGTGTGTGTGTAATCTACTGGGCTCCACTGGGGTGTCTTCTGCTTGTGTCTGGGGTATCTTGAGTTTGGCTCCTGCTTGTGTCTGGGGAGCCCTGAGCAGTTTGGGGGGTGTAGGGTGATGCCCTCTGCTCTAAGGTGATCTTGCGCTCTGTTTCCTCAGAGAAAGAGCATGCACGACACCACAATGGGGATGAGGAAGACTGTGGAGCAGAAGGAGAAAGATCTGCTGGCCCGTGTGCTGGGTAAAGTAAGTCCACAGGATTTCCAGGAGCTCTGTCAGTTCTTGAGCTCTGAGCGAGAGAAGTTCCTGAAGGAATACACTCTCCTCATCATCGAGAGGGCGAAGGAGGAATTCACCAACTTTCTGAATGAGCAGGTGAGTGTGTGTGTGTGAGAGAAACTGGGAAGATGAGAGTGTGTGTGTGTGAGAGAAACTGGGAGGGTGAGAGTGTGTGTGTGTGTGTGAGAGAAACTGGGAGGGTGAGAGTGTGTGTGTGTGAGAGAAACTGGGAGGGTGAGAGTGTGTGTGTGTG